GGGAGAGAGAGAAAGAGAGAGGGAGGGAGAGGGAGGGAGAGAGAGAGGGAGAGAGGAAGAGAGAGGGAAAGAGTGGGAGGGGGAGGAAGAGAGAGGGAGGGAGAGAGAGAGGGAGAGAGAGGAAGAGAGAGGGAAAGAGTGGGAGGGGGAGGGAGAGAGAGAAAGAGAGAGGGAGGGAGAGGGAGGGAGAGAGAGAGGGGGAGAGAGAGAGAGAGAATATGAATATATGTGGTTGTCCTTACTGGACTTTTAATAAAGAACATTTAATGAAATATTTTGATTTTTTTTAATTAAGAGATGAGGTATGGGGATAATTATGCTGTATTTAAAGATGGTAGATAAGCTACCAAAATTGTTTTTACCTGTTGGGATGAAGGAGAAAGGGTTTTTTTTCCCCCTCTTTCTCCTGTCCTTTTCTTTTTTTTCCCCCGCATTATTTTTTCTTTTCTATTTTTCTATTTGTAGTTTTTATAGTTTGCACCGGCTTTCTATTTCATAAATACGAGGAGGAGTCAAATAGACATTGAGTATTTTATTTGAAAGTAACCTTCGACCCAGCGTCTTGTTTTTTGGAGTTCAAAATGTTTTTGTTGTATGCAGAAATAAAAATTGGTTTTCTTTGTAGCAGTTCATTGATTTCATAAATGCAACACACTATAGTTTTTTTTATACATAGCATAAAAGTAAAAAAGGATATATGCAGTGTTATCTTCATTTTAGATGTCAAAAGGGTTTTGTGGCTCCCGGTGGTTTTTTTGCTGTGGGAAACGGTCCAAATGGCTGTTTGAGTGTTTAAGGTTGCTGACCCCGGTCTAGCCCCAGTCTAGCAACCAAAGTCCAAAAGCCCTATTTTAAGCTGATTGTAAACAACATGCTTGGATCTGGGTAAGGACATCAGTTTTCTCTATTCTACACATTAACTAATTTCCTGGGGAAAAAACCGCAAGAAGAAGAAGAAAAAACTTCTGAAAGTGAAGAGAGGGATGTTTGCTCCACGCTTCTGAAGACAGAAGCGGAGAATTAAACATTTTATGGGGGAGAAATATACTGAAATGAAATGAATATAACAC